CCCCCCCCAACGCTGCACCATTGCACCAAACCCCCACTCGTGATGACGTACCATTACAATGCATCGCTGGTTGGTGGCCATGTTTGCGTGTTTGCTTGCCGTTGGTGGTCTCTCCACCGTGTGCCCTATTCTGTCTCTTATTCCTTGTTATTTTCGGCCTGGTCCCTTTTGTCCTCGCTCATTTTATTTCATTTTCTCTTAACTGCTGTTTCCTTTCATTTTCTTCTCTTTTTCTCTTGTTCTCTTTTCTCTCTTTTTCTGTGCCAGATGGCCTTGTTTCTGCTTGGTGCGTTGTGAAGTACCAAGATTGAACCAAGGGGTGTACCTCAGCCCGTGATGTTAACCCCTAGTCTCTGTTGTTACCTCGCGTAGCGCGCAGAGGGAGTGGAGGACTCCAGAATATCTGTCGTTGATTTCTGTTGACTTGCAGACCCCTCGGGATCATTTTATTTGAGTGTACCTTTTTAGGGTAAGTTAGCCTACGACCACGGGAATCGACCGCGTCGAATGTTGTAGTCAGTACGGACATACGAAGGTACTGGGTAGAGAGAGATCGGAACGGTTTTTAATGTGAAGACAGCAACAACAACAACAACAACAATTCCATATTCCGGGCGGGCCCCTGGGCGGATGGCCTGCTTCAACCTTCGCGGGCGGGCTGCTGGGGGGATATTGGCCTGTTCTCAGTCCAAAAGAAGTTCGATCACGCGAAAAGGAAGTTTTCGATTGTTGAATCAAGTTGAACGGATTTATTGTGGAGGACGATGATGTCGGCGAACCCAAGACCCCCTCAACCCGTGCTCCCCGTGCACCTCCACCAGGTAGGTGCATCTACATGTGAGTGTATCTCTTCGGCGATGGGTACCACCTATACATACCGCTTTTTACAGCCCGTGCCTTGCTGTGTCTGTTTTCTGCGACTTCACGAGCGGTGTTGGCCTGCTTCTCTGCTTCATTCGGGCATTACCTCATGCATGCCGCGACCCTCCCTAGATTTCATGTTTCAGCTCAACACGGATTCTTTGGGGGGGTATACACACGCATGGGTTGCCCCGGTGGTCTGGTGGGTAGCCTCGCAGCCTGCTGAGGGCCAGGTCATGGGTTCGAGTCCCGGCAGAGAGAGAGAGAGTTTTTTCTCACTAAATAAATCCTGGTCTAGGATGAACGCGACGCGCTGCAAAGCTCGTTTGTTAGTAAACCATAGTCTAATCGACTTCGTAAGTCGCGAGGGAAGGGATTGCTGTACCCTTCTCGCGATAAAAATACCTCAGGCATGAACCGCAGGAGGGGGTCCAACCCCCGCCTCTTATGTGACCCCGGTTGGGTCGTCTAGCTAGTAGAAGTTGAGGATAGGGGCCTGAGGGGCAGACGGCAGAGTCCAATGATGGGAGAAAAACAACAAACAACAACATCCATGCACCCGGCCGGGAGAGCGAGAACGGAAAAACGAACTATCAAACACACACAGCACGGTACATCGATCATGGAGCGAGAGGATACGTGCACCCTCACACTGTTCGCACACACAGCAACAACAGGTAAATAAAGTATCAAACACACTTACACTTGTGCACACGGTATCATCGATCATGGAGCGAGAGGATGCGTGCGCCCGCTTTGTCTGCACGCAGCAACAGGCAGCAGATGGTACGTGAAAACGGGTACCTTTCTGTGCGTGTATTTATTATTCGGACCACGGGCGTGTACAACTTCTGAGTGAACGTGCATGAGTCTGCCCGCTCGTCCTCATCCACGCTTTGGACTAAAAGAGGACGGTATTCTACAAATGTTAGGAAACATAATTGTCATGTACATGAACGCCCGCCCGACTTGAGCCGAAAGGGCCGAGAGCCGAGAGAGCTGGCGCACAACATGAGTGCAAAAAAAACACAGTTTGAAGTTTGTGGTTCTTTGTGAAAGAAGAACAGCAAACGCCCTGACGGCGAACAGCCAACACAGGCAACTAACTGCAGAAAACATCCAAATGTTGCTTCTGCGGAGGTGTGCGGCTTTTATAATAGTCCCTTTTGTCACACCTGGTCCTCGGAAGATATCTACTCTACACGTCGTCCAGGTATACCATTGTTGTTCCACGTTCCACGGCCTCAGGGTGTGGACGTTGTGAATGATTGGTCGTTATTCAGATGGTCGTTGTCAACGTACAGGAGGTGGTCTTCGTCGTGACCCATGACCTGTCACCCCGGTGGTCTAGTGGGTAGCCTCGCAGCCTGCTAAGGGCCAGGTCATGGGTTCGAGTCCCGACAGAGTGAGCTTTTTCTCGCTAATTGAATACTGACTGGTCTCCGTTGGAAGCGACGCGCTTCAAAGCTCGTTGTTAGTAAACTTGATCGACTTCAAAGTCGCGCGGGAAGGGATTGTTGTACCCTTCTCGCGATAAAACTATTATCCTAGGCAGGAACCGCAGGAGGGGTCCAACCCCCCCCTCCTTTGTGACCCCGGTTTGGCACCCAGCCGGATGATGATGTAGGGAGTCTGGGATCTCAGCGGGAACTGATTCTTCTGGGAATCTCCGAAGATTCCATTGAAAAAGTAAAAAATTTACACGTACGTGCTGAACACAATCCACAAACGCGCACCGCCCGCGGGGTTTGCGTATAGGTCTCACCAACGAGCGCGTGTTCTCTTCTTCCACGATCTCACAAGGCCACTCCAGAAAAGGTAGGTGTGTGTTTGGACTGCGTACTGTATCATCGTAGCAGGTATGGATTTAAAAGCGGACTCCGAGATGTTGGTGGTGCTTGGTACTTGTGTCCCGCCTTCTCCCTCCCTGTCTCTCTCTCCCTCCTATGCACATCATGTCCTGCTAAAGCTGGATGTTTTAACTGGAGTTGGATGCTCGCGCCGTCAGGTGGTGGTCGAGATAGCTCATGATTATCGTTGCTCAGGCCACTGCATGCAGCAGCGTGGTTGCTATTATTATACAGAATCCACGAGCTTCTTTCCTGATCGTCGTTGTGGGCGCGTGTGCTGCTTGCTGTATGCCATCGTTTTCCGCTCTCTGCTTCACACCGACGGTACGGCTGCTGCTCGTTTGTTGTTGTTGGGTGTTGCTGTCTCCAATCTACTGCTGTACGTAGGTCTCATCATGACAGCAGAGCTCCCGCTAAACTACTGCTGCTGGGCCTCCTCTTTCGTTATCTTCAAGGTAGAAACACAAAAAACGTGCACAACGGTGCCCAACATCACAGCATTTTTTTTGCAGCAAGCAAAGTCTATTTTGAAAGTCAAACTAAACCTGTACTTCCAGGTTGTTTCATAGCACAGAGGCAGTTCCTGGGCGACTCGTTGGAAGCCCTATATCCAAACACGTTCTACTCTTGACACCCTCCGGCCGACCGCAGGACTTCCGGAGTTGATAGCAGTATCATCAGAACAACAGCTTACAGCAGTATGCATATGTATGACGCGTAGAGAGGAAAGACGCACATGTACCGCCGTAAAAATAGATCCTTTCGAAAATGCACCGTATATCAAAGAAAGACTTCCCTTTGGAGACACAGCAGCAGCAGCAGCAGCAATACATGCAGTACATTTTTTTTTTTTCTCTCATCATTGGACTTACACAGTTGTGTGGTCTGCCCCTCTAGCCCCCATCCTCCATTCACTTCTACTAGCTAGACGACCCAACCGGGGTCACATAGGGGGGGGGGGTTGGACCCCCTCCTGCGGTTCCTGCCTGAGATATTTCCATCGCGAGAAGGGTACCTTCCCTCGCGACTTATGAAGTCGGTTAAGTTTGCGACCAACGAGCTTTGAAGCGCGTCGCTTCCAACGGTTCCAGGATTTAATTTGTGAGAAAAAACTCACTCTGCCGGGACTCGAATCCATAACCTGGACCTTAGCAGGCCGCGCGGCTACCCACCAGACCACCGGGGCGACCGGTGCATATATTCTGCTGTTTAATTTACGCACAATTTATTTACATAATATGAATCAGCAGATCCCGTTGGAGGGACGTGTTCATGAAGTCGTTATAGTGATCGGTGAGGATGGAGGGACACCTGCGGCACCTGGGCTTGTGTTCGAGTCTGTGTTGAGCCTCCCTGTGCCCTTGAAGATCAGAGTCTGTGTTGAGCCTCCTTGTGCACTTCAAGATCAGACATGATAATCGAGCCTGGAACAGAAATTATTCCCATCTCTGTAGGATATTGAAGGGTACCAGTAACATTTACAGAAAACCCCCTGCAATGCTTAGCTGCGTCGATGACAAAAGGGCCGAAGAGGAACCATCTCCATCACGTGGTGTGCTAAAAACAAACTGCTTTGACCTCGTGCTGTCTACCACGGTTGGCTCTTAGTCTATAGATCCATGTATGTTTTTGTTCTTTGCCTGACAAAGGTCTTACATGCCTGCAGAGTAGGCACAACGACAGAGTAGTGCCCCCGTTTTGTAGCTCGGGAGGGCGACAGCTGCTGTAGGTTATATGTGTGCCTCGGAGTGTGCACCAGGGTCGACCTCTCCTGAGAGAACGAAAGGCGGTACAATATGCATACATTTTGTTGTTGTTTTTGTTGTCTTCACATTTAACTCGTGTCAGTTGCTAATCCCAAAATCTAGCAAAGACTCGGTCCGTGGTCACAAAAATGCTGGAGCCATCAGAAGATCCAAAGAACACACACACTATTAGCACGAAAAGGGTACACAAGCCCGAGGAGGTACACCTACAATCCCTGCAGCACGTTTGCGTGCTCAAAACTGAACTACACACCCACACACTACAATTTGACTACAGCAGCATCACCCCCCTTGTCCCGCACTTAATTAACCAAAATGAATGTTTGTCGACTACAGCATACCCTTGTCTGAAGTGCTTTCTCTTCAATAATAACACCATGGTAAAAGCATGGTACACAAGATCAATAATAACACCATCGTAAAAGCATGGTACACAAGATTGGATCATGCAGCTGCTATCTGAAGTGCTGTCAGAATGCGTCCGTGGACATACAATGAAGAAGAACAATCAACCAAAGCCATCATTGCAATCACCCGAATCTATCGAAATCAATCTGTGTTAGACACAGCAGTGTAAACATCGACACTGACTAGGATTCGTTCCACATTGAAGAGGTCTTCCACGATGCAGGTACACAATTGTGGCACCCGGGTTATCCGCGCCATCTCTGCCGCGTCTCTCTACAACACCAGTGACGTCATCACACACCTTAACAATATCTCTCTACTAACTATCGCCACTTAACAATACCTCCTCCCCTCCCCGGCCTGCTCCCCGGCCGGGGCCGAAATCGACCTTGTGAGTCCCTCGCGGGCGAACCAGGCCACAACAGATAGTAGGTGGGTGGTGTCCCAAGGTGCAACTCACCGCCGCGCTGGCTCAGCGTGGCGGTGAGGATGCACAGACGGTGGTAGTGGCGAGAGGTGTATGTGGACCTTGTCCCCGCGGCAGCAATGCAAAGCGGCAAACTGCACCTGGTAAACACCGTCGCGGAAAACGTGGCCCACGAAGCTGGAGGAGCAGAGAGATTCGTAAAAACCACGCGAGTAAGCACCGTTCGCGGGAGAAGGGAGATAACCGCGGGCGACGCGGGGGGGGAGTGCTGCACCCTCCTCGTCCAAACACCACAGGCAAGCACCGAGCCCTGCAAAGATGGATCGATGCGAAGAAACTCGCCGCTCGGATTAAACGGAAGAAAACACCCCCCCAGCGCGAGGCGGACCGAGAGCGACAGGAGATAGCAGCGGGCGTGAAGGCGACCGCGAAGAAGAAGGCACGGGAGGGCGATTTATCGTTCGGCACGTTCAACGTACGCACGCTCGCCTACAGCGGCAGGAACCCCATCGGCCACAACGTGATGACGGTCATGCAGATCTGTGCCGCGACCGACTG